TTCTCTGCCGAAAGCGCGCAGCCTGTCTGGTCGTGAATTGCTTAATTGTGTTATTTGTCTTGTTCGTCTGCTTGTCTTTGTATTTTGAGTTTTCTGATTCAAGTATGGGACAAACCATAACCACCCCTCTGAGCCTTACCTTAGGTCACTGTAATTAAGTGCATATCCGTGCCTCTAACCAGTCAGTGAATGTCAAGAAGAAGAAATGGCAGATATACTGCACATCTGAGTGGCCAACCTTTGATGTGGGCTGGCCACGGGATGGGACCTTTAACCTAGAAATTACCTTACAGGTTAAGGATTGGGTCTTCGACAAGGGACCCCAAGGACACCTGGACCAGATAGCATACATTGTTACTTGGGAAAATTTGGCTACAGAGCCCCGACATGGGCAGCCCCGTTTGTGACCCCCTGACCTCCCCCAAAGGCGGTCTCGGAGAAACCGTCGGCTCCTCCCCTCCCCTCTTCTTCACCCTTGATCCCTGTCCTGGCTCCAGATCATAAGCCTGCTCATCTTTATCCAGTTGTAGAGAAGTCCCCCTCTAAACCCCTTAAGTCTAAACCTGTGCTACCCCCAGATGATGTGGTTCTCATAGACTTACTCACCGAGGAACCACCACCGTATCAGCCAGCTCCACCACTTCCTGCTCAAGCTGCTCGGGGGAGGGAGGAAGGAGAAAGACCCCACACTGGCCGAGGAGGGATCAGACTCTCTAGTTGACGGGAGGCTGAGAGGGAAAAGGAAACCCACCCAGTCAGGAGGAACCTCTAGAGCTTTCCCCTTGCGCCAAATGGGGGGCCCGGGGAACCAATACCAGTATTGTTCTTTTTCCACCTCTAACTTATATAATTGGAAATCTCACAATCCCTCTTTTTCCAAGGATCAGGTGGTTCTCACGAACCTGATTGAATCAATCCTTATAACCCACCATCCCACATGGGACGATTGTCATCAGCTCTTACAGGCACTCTTAACTTTGGAAGAAAAACAAAGGGTGTTCCTGGAAGCCAGGAAAAACGTCCCGGGCAATGATGGGCGACCCACTCAACTCCCTAATGAAATCGACACCGCTTTTCCCTTAACCCGCCCCGAATGGGACTTCAACATGGCTGAAGGCAGGGGACACCTACGTCTTTACTGCCAGTTACTGATAGTGGGCCTCCATGGCGCTGGACGCCGACCTACCAATTTGGCTCAGGGAAGACAGGTTAGTCAGGGAATGGAGGAGACTCCCACTGCCTTTCTGGGGCGTCTAAAAGAGGCCTACCATATGTACACCCCCTTCGACCCTGAAAGTGATGCACAAAGGGGCAATGCACTGATGGCCTTCATATGGCAATCGGCACCAGATATCCGCAATAAGTTGCAGAGACTAGACAATCTGCAAGAGTATACCTTGCCTGATTTATTGAAAGAGGCAGAGAAGGTTTTAAACAAAAGGGAAAACTCCTGAAGAGAAGGAAGAAAGAATTAGAAAGTTGCAGGAGGAAAGAGAGAACAGACTAAAAATGGAACTAGAGGATAGAGAAAAAGAAAGAGATCGAAAATGCCCTAGGGAACTTAGTAGACTCTTGGCCACCGTAGTACAGAATAACACAGGCACAGGGAAACAGGAAAGGAAGGGAGATATCAGGAGGCCCTGGGTAGATCAAGACCAGTGCACCTATTGCAAAGAAAAGGAATACTGGGTCAGAGACTGCCCGAAGAGACCAAGAGGGCCAAAAAGAAGGCCTGACAAACAGGCCCAGTTACTAGCCCTTGATGAAGATTAAGGACGTCAGGGCCAGGTGCTCCCCCCTGAGCCCCGGATAACCCTACAAGTTGGGGAGCAACCAGTCACCTTCCTAGTAGATACTGGAGCTCAACACTCAGTGCTCACTAGTACCCAAGGACCCCTGAGCAGCCAAACTGCTTGGGTACAAGGGGCTACCGGAGAAAAGCAGTATCTCTGGACCACAGAAAGGAAAGTTCACTTGGCCTCAGGTAACATCTCTCACTCCTTCCTACATGTTCCTGATTGCCCCTACCCGCTCCTGGGGAGAGACCTATTGACCAAGCTAAAAGCCCAAATACATTTTGAAGGATCAAGGGCCACCATATCAGGCCCTAACGGGACCCCCCTCCAGGTCCTCACCCTACAATTGGAGGACGAGTACTGACTTTCTGATCCACCACCCAAACCAACCGAAAATCTAGAGGACTGGGTCAAGGAGTATCCCTTGGACTGGGCAGAGACTGGGGGCATGAGACTAGCAAGGCGCCAACCGCCCCTCGTTATAAACCTAAAAGCAACAGCAACCCCAGTCTCCATAAAGCAGTATCCCATGACCAAGGAGGCTTATGAAGGGATAAAGCCACACATAAAAAGACTCGTGGACCAGGGGATATTAACCCCCTGCCGTTCCCTTTGGAACACCCCCCTCCTTCCTGTCAAGAAACCAGGAACGGGATTACCGACCAGTCCAAGATCCCAGAGAGGTCAATAAGAGGGTGGAAGACATCCACCCCACAGTGCCCAATCCTTATAACCTGCAGAGCACTCTGCCTCCAACACATCAGTGGTACACCGTCCTTGACCTGAAGGACGCTTTCTTCTGTCTAAGGCTCAGTCCTCAAAGTCAGCCTTTGTTGCATTTGAATGGAAGGACCCTGAGATAGGGGTATCAGGGCAATTAACCTGGACCCGATTGCCACAGGGGTTCAAAAATAGCCCCACCCTCTTCGATGAGGCTCTCCACTACGACTTGGCAGATTTTCGCATCAGACATCCGCCATTGGTCCTGCTCCAATATGTGGGCGACATCCTGTTGGCCACCACCAACGAGGATAACTGTCATGCAGGAACCGAGGCTCTCCTATTGACCTTGGGGCAGTTGGGATACTGGGCTTCCACGAAGAAAGCCCAAATCTGTCGGGAAAAGGTTACTTATTTGGGGTATGAAATTCAAAACGGTCAGCGATGGCTAACTGCCGCACACAAGGAGACCATATCCCCCATCCCGGCACCCCAAAGCCCCCGCCAGTTGCGGGAGTTCCTGGGGACAGCCGGGTTTTGCCGGCTATGGATTCCAGGGTTTGCTGAAATGGCAGCACCCCTTTACAGGCTGACCAAATCAGATACCCCCTTTGTTTGGGCCGAGGAACACCAACATGCCTTTGATGACATTAAACAAGCTTTGCTCTCCTTCCTGGCCCTGGGCCTGCCCGACATAACTAAGCCCTTTGAACTCTATGCGGATGAGAGGCAGAGCTTTGCTAAAGGAGTTTTAACACAAAGACTCGGACCCTGGAGGCGCCCTATTGCATACTTATCAAAAAAGCTGGACCCAGTTGCAGCAGGGTGGCCTCCATGCCTGAGAATGGTAGCCGCTATTGCTGTTCTCACCAAAGATGCCTCTAAATTAACCTTGGGACAACCATTAACTATCCTGGCACTGCACGCCATTGAGTCTCTGGTCTGCCAACCTCCCGACCGCTGGCTGTCCAACGCTCGACTGACCCACTACCAGTCCCTGCTCCTGGATGCTGACAGGATCCAGTTTGGGCCAGTCATCACCCTCAACCCCGCGACCCTGCTGCCCTTGCCAGTAGGGCCCACATCCCACGACTGTCAACAGATCCTTGCGGAAATGCATGGAACTCGGCCTGATCTGACCGATCAGCCGCTTAAGGATGCGGACTTCACCTAATATACGGATGGCAGCAGCTATCTACTGAACGGAGAGCAGCAGGCAGGAGCAGCAGTAACGGTCGCCGCCCAGGTAATCTGGGCCAGCGCACTTCCTGCTGGCACCTCTGTTCAATGTGGGGAATTGATCGCCTTAACCCAAGCACTCCAGATGGCAGCATGTAAGAAGCTCAATGTTTACACTGATAGCCGGTATGCCTTTGCACATACATGGGGAAATATACAAGAGGAGAGGACTTTTAACTTCAGAAGGCAAAGAGATCAAGAATAAAAATGAAATTCTAGCCCTTTTAAAAGCACTGTTTCTCCCAAAGAAATTAAGCATAATACACTGTCCAGGGCATCAAAAAGGGGGCAGTCCCGAGGCTGTGGGAAATCGCCGAGCCGACGAGGCGGCCAAGCAGGCGGCACTGGGGTCTCAACTGTTAGCCGTCACTGTGTCAACCGGCAAATCAGTCCCTGACTGGGATTATGTGGACAAGGACCTGGACCTCGTCCAGAGACTAGGAGCTGACTATGACTCAGTCCGCAATTGCTGGACCCACCAAGGAAAGACTGTAATACCTATAAAGGCAGCTAAGGAGTTAATTGAACATTGCCATAAGTTAACCCACTTGAGCAAGCAAAAGATGAAAACGGGGAACCATGGGCGTGCACCTACCACAGAAAGACATGCTGCTACAACAAGTAACTGAAAACTGCAGGGTCTGTGCGCAGGTCAATTCAGGGCATACCAAAATTGGTCAAGGAAAGCGCCTCTGAGGTCATCGCCCTGGGAATCATTGGGAGGTCGATTTTACAGAAATCAAGCCTGGGATGTAGGGTTACAGATACCTACTAGTCTTTGTAGATACTTTCTCTGGATGGGTGGAGGCCTTCCCCACCAAGCACAAAACCACGAAGATGGTCACCAAGAAGCTTCTGGAAGAAATCTTCCCCAGATACAGGATACCACAGGCATTAGGGTCGGATAACGGGCCTGCCTTTGTCTCCCAGGTAAGTCAGATGGTGACCAAGGTCTTGGGGATTGATTGGAAATTACATTTTGCCTACAGACCCCAAAGTTCAGGTCAGGTAGAAAGGATGAATAGAACAATCAAGGAGGTATTAACCAAATTATCGCTTGAAACTGGCTCTAAAGACTGGGTACAACTCCTGCCTCTAGCCTTATACCGGGCCAGAAACACACCTGGCCCACATGGTCTGACCCCATTTGAAATTTTATATGGGGGCCCCGCCTCCTGCCATCACCTTCTTTGATACTGATATTTCTGATTTTGCCACTTCCCCTTCCATGCAGGCCCATCTGCAGGCCCTGCAGTTGGTACAACAGGAGGTCTGGAAGCCAGTAGCAGCGGCCTACCAGAAAGAGGTAGAATCACTCTTCGTACCTCATCCCTTTATGATCGGTAACACTGTCTGGGTCCGGAGACACCAGATCAAGAACCTAGAGCCTCGCTGGAAGGGACCCCTATACTGTACTTCTGACTACCCCTACGGCATTGAAGGTAGACGGCATTGCGGCCTGGGTCCACGCCTCACACGTTAAGGCCGCCCGACCAGAACACTGCACCGATACGCCAGCCCAACAAAACCCAGAGTCATGGAGGCTCCAACGCTCTCAAACCCCTTTAAAGATAAGATTAATATGCCAATAATATGTTTGATCCTATTACTGCTAGTTGATGATGCGCTAGAGAGCCCCCATGCTGTATATGAAATAACTTGGAAGATTATCAATCAGGAGACCGGGGCAATCGCTAACTCCACTACCATTCAGGGTACCGTAAATGCAACCTTTCCCTCTTTGCATGTGGATCTTTGCGACCTAGTGGGTAAGCGATGGGATCCCTCGGAACAAGAGCCCTTCCCCGGCTATGGTTGTCGGTACCCGGGCTGGCGCATGTCCACGCGCAAACTTGACATATATGTTTGCCCAGGCCATAACCGTGATAAAGGGCTCCAACGTAGATGTGGTGGACCGGGAGATGGGTATTGCGCTGAGTGGGGATGTGAGACCACCGGAACCACTTATTGGAAACCCACTTCCTCCTGGGACTTAATCACCCTCCAGCGAGGAACTATCCCGGGGTATAATGGAGGCGGCCCCTGGACTTGCGGGGGACAGGATTGTGGACCATGCTATGATTCAAGTTCCAAACTCCAGGGTAGCACCCCTGGAGGAAGGTGCAACCCCCTAATAATTACTTTTACGGAGGCCGCTAAGCGGTCAGCATGGGATGCCCCCAAGGCTTGGGGGCTACGGCTATACCGTACTGGAACGGACCCCGCAGCCACCTTTCTAATCTCCAGAACCATAACCCCCATATCTGTGGCGTCTATTGGTCCAAACTCTGTTCTTCTTGACCAGCAGGGCAGGCCATCCCAGAGCCTCCCTAGACCCAAGCCTAACCCCTTGCTGTCTGACAATACAACCAACACCACCACCACCACTCCTATAAGGCGGAGGATTGTTGGCTCTGCTTGACAGCGGCTCCCCCTTATTATGAGGGCTTGGCATGGACTCTGACCTTGCCAGCAATACATCTCCCCCTTCCCGATGCAGCGAAACACCTAATCATAAACTAACTCTGCCCCAGGTGACTGGACAAGGATTATGTCTTGGAAATGTTCCCACATCGTCTCAATAACTGTGTAACCGTACAGTCTCAGTAACTCCCAGTAACTCATACCTGACCGGCCCTGATGGGACTTATTGGGCCTGCAATACGGGACTGACTCCTTGTGTCTCAGCCTCGGTTCTTAACATGACAGCTGATTATTGTATACTTGTCCTTCTATGGCCCGTATTACCTACCACTCCTCATGGACTGTGCTAGGATACTTTGAGAATCGTTATCTATTCAAAAGGGAACCTGTTTCAGTAACATTAGCTCTTCTTTGGGGAATTGGGGGGATAGCAGCTGGTATAGGGACCAGTACCACTGCCTTACTTAAGAGCAATCAGAATACGCAGCTCCAAGCAGCCATGAATGAGGATCTACAGGCCTTAGAAAAATCAGTTTGGGCCCTTAAGGACTCTTTGGTTTCATTATCCGAAGTGGTCCTAAAGAATAGAAGAGGACTAGATGTCCTATTTCTTAGAGAGGGAGGCTTATGTGCCGCCTTCAAAGAGGAATGTTTTTATGCAGACAAGAGTGGGGTAGTAACCGAAACTCTGGATAAACTCAAGGAGAGGTTGACTGTTCGGCAGAAGAAATTTGAATCCCAACAATACTGGTATAAGGGTTGGTTTAACAAATCCCCCTGGTTTGCTACCCTAGTCTCTACTCTTATGGGCCCCTTAATTATTTTCATACTTGTGTTAACCTTTGGGCCTAGCATTCTCAACAAACTAATTCCATTTATGAAAGATAGATTAACAGTAATTCAAGCCTTAGTCCTAACTCAACAATACCATGCCCTCAAATAGACGGAACCATTAGTAAACCTTAAGTAAAGAGGGCTGGCCAGTAGGTATAAGATTCTACCTATGCACAAGAACAAGGGGGGAATGAAAGACCCCAAGCTGGGGACTCCTAGGAAAAGAAAAACAGGGCCAAGCCGTTGCCTAATGGAAAAACCCAGACCAGTTGCCTCGCCCAGCTGGCGCCTCAAACAGGATGTCAAACAGGATGTCTGCGGTCACCAGAGCAGTCATGGGACCTGGATAATTGCTGAAGTGTGCCATATTTACATCTTTTGGTAATACCAGGAACCTAGTCCTTGGCAACTACCCCTGCCCCCAAGATGACCTTAGCCCGCGCTTAAGTAGCCAATGAAATGCCTGTTGCTATGCTGATACTTATGTAACCATTAAAACTCTATAAATACTGTGCTCCCTGCAAGCCCGGTATGCTCTGCACCCGTGTTGCAGCAGCACCCGCAGGCGCCTGTGTACTCAATAAACCACCTCTTGCTTTTGCATCCAGTGGTCTGGCTCCGGTTCTTGGGCAGAGGGTTCGGTTTGGTGCCTAGCGTTTCAGTGCCGGGGGCTTTCAGTATAACAGCTAGCGTTCTTGCCATCTAAGAAAATGGTGTGGGTGGAGTGATGTGTTAAATACAAATATCAAGGGAAAGAAAAATGCCTGTTATTCTAGTCATTCGGGGAGTCAACGACCAGCAAAAGCAGACTAGAAAAGTGACAGCGAGGGTCAGGTGACCAGAAAGGAATGCAAGTGTTCTAGGCTGATGGAAGTGTGTCTTGTTTGTAGTGGCCAAAGCTTACAGTGAACACTTACACATTGTCCTTTGTCCAGTGTTGATTATGCTTCAACTTGAAAACTGGTCAGGGGTGGGATACTGCATAAACCAGACATCAAGGCAGGAGGATCAGAAACTCAGGGTCATCCTCTGCTAAATATCAAGTTCAAGGCCAGTCTGACATATGCAAGATCCTGTGCTAAAAACTAAAAAGGTTGGTGGGCACTTGTCCAGCATGGACACTTGCCCCTGGATTCCGTGTCTAGTACTGGTGGTTAGTGAAGGGATGCAAGTGGTCCATCCAGTGATGGCAGGGTGTTCGCAGGAAGTGAATGTAGCTAGGGCCTTGAGTTTTAAGAGATTGTTAATCTGTCATGCTTAATCCAATGATGGCAGGGTGTTCACAGGAAGTGAATGTAGCTAGGGCCTTGAGTTTTAAAAGATTGTTACTCTGTCATGCTTAAAGAGGACTGGAGAGATGGCTCAGAGGTTGCCAGCACTGGCTACTCTTCTAGTATGCCCTGAGTTCAATTCCCAGCAACCGCATGGTGGCTCACAACCATCTTGAATGGGATCTGGTGCCCTCTCCTGTTGTGCAGGCATACATGCAGGCAGAACATTGTGTACATAATAAATCCTTTAAAAAAAATGAAATAAAGAGGACTGTAAAGTTTCAGTAATAACGAGGCGTTTTGGGTTTGACTTTTTTTTTTTTGTTTAAAGGTTACTGCATGAATTGGCATAGGTTGTACTAGGTAAATTAAGTAAACTTGCATGTTTGGCTCTATTCCTCTTCTGGTGCTTTTTTCTAATTATATACAGTTAGACGTAAGGAAAGATGAGTGGGTATGTGCTATGCCAGTGCTTAAAAGAGCCTGTGCTGCCACAAAAGTCAGCACAACAAATAGATTCTACAGACTGAGCAGGTAAACACATACATATATGTAACAATGGTTGATTTAAAAAGAGGCCATGAATTTACAACAGTAGGAAGAGGTGTATGGAAGGGTTTGGTGAAAGGAAGGGGAAAACAATCTAGTTATAATTTCAAAATAAAACTTTAAAAAAGCTGAGCAAGCCAGTAAATAGTGTTTGTCTGTGGCCTCTCCTTCGGTTCAAAACACTGGTTCCTGCCTGACTTCCCTTGGCGATGGATTTTGACCTGGGAGTTACTTGTAAGATAAGATATACCCCACCCTGCTACAAAAAAAAAAAAAAAAAAAGAATGTAAATTGTGGGTCAGCCAAGCTGGAAAGTGCCTGTGGCCATCTGAGAGGTTATAGGAGTTTCTACCAAGGCTCTCTTGGCTGTGCAGGGTTGCTTGAACCCAGGCGTTTGAGATGAGCCTAGGCAGTGAGAGTCCACTGGTAATGATACAATCCTGACAAGAATGAAGTTGGGATGGTTATCTCAGTTTCAATGGAAAATTTTCCCTATATAAAAGAAAACATGAGAAAGATTCCATGTAAATAAAATGTATACACACACAAAAAAATCTTAAAATGCATAAAATATAAATACTAATTTTGACATTTTCTTTTTATTTTTTTAGGAAAATGTCAGATGAATTTTCGGTAAGTTGAACCTTGTTAAGTTTTTTGTGGGTTTTTGTTTTGTTTTGTTTCTTTCTTTTAAGGACAACATGGTCCTGCCAGGGAAGGTGGTGTATGCTTGTAATCTCAGCCATATAGAGCTTGGGGCAGAAAGCTTGTGAGTTTCAAGCAAGCCTGGGCTATGCAGTGAGATCCTGTCTCCTTATAAACAGTGAAAACCCTTAAAATAAAACAAAACCACATGGTCCTAACCGTAAGGCATCTAAGTCTTTTTAACTTAAAAAGATAGGTGCTTGAACATTTTAGGCATGTTCCCCCCCCTCCAGATTTACTTACTTTTTAAAGATTTTATTTGTTACATATACAGTGTTCTACCTGCGTGTTTGCCGGCATGCCAGAAGAGAGGGCCAGAAGAGGCCACCAGATCTTATTTTAGAGGTTGTGAGTCACTATGTGATTGCTGGGAATTGAACTCATGACCTCTGGAGGAGCAGTCAGTGCTCTTAACCTCTGAGCCATCTCCCCAGCCCTCAGATTTATTTTTATTTACATGTATGTTTATATGTCATGGTAACTTCAGTTTCAAGAGTCCAACACCCTTTGGCCTCTGCCAGCACCAGGCATGCACAGTATGTACATAAACTCATGAAGGCATGAGTCTGCTTTCATGTTGCTGTGACAAAGAGTCTGATCAAAGGCCTCTTGGAAAGGAGAAGTTTGCTCTCATCTTACAGCTTGTAGTCAGTCCATCCTGAAGGGAAGCCAGGGCAGGAGCCTGGAGGCAGACACTGGGACATCAGCCATGGAGGAGCAGTCACATTCAGCATCCTTTGTTATGTTTGCCAGGACACTTTCCCAGGTGTGGTACCTCCCTTGGTGGCCATTGAGCGAGAAAAAGCTCGCACGTTTGCCTACAGGCCAGTCTGATAGAAGCAATTCCTTAATGGGAGTTCACTTTTCTCTGAAGATTCCAGCTTGTATCAAGTTGACAAAATAACCCACCAACATGCACACATACAGAAAGAAAAATAATTTTCGTTAAGTTCAGGGTCTGCCTGGGCTACATGAAACCTTGTGTCAAAAAATAATGTATATACAGCATTATGTAAATTGCCTCATTTAATGCTGAATTTAACCCTAAACCTTTTTTTAAACTGAAATAGTAAAGGTCAAGTGTAGAGATCCTGTCCTGTCTTATTTACCATACTGCATTCTAGTTACACTGCTCAGAAATGAAACACAGTAGAATTAGCTGTATTTAGAAAAGTTGAGCTTTGGGGAATTTGCATTGTGAAGTTAATGTTCAAGATAACACCTCAAGTTCCTTTTTAAGAAGAGCTTCTCAAATAAGCAGTTTAGTCTTTGAAGGTGCCACTGAGACTTGTAATCCCTGGGTATTGTGTATAGTTTGTTTGAGGTTATCGTCATGTTTGCTTTGACTTGCTCCTGGGTAAGTCAGCTGAGACATACCTATTTTGTATTACAGTTGGCAGATGCACTACCTGAGCCATCCTCTGCCAAACCGTCTGCTGTGAGCAATGCAAAAGCTGGCCAGTCTACTCAAGGCTGGCCAGGCTCCAGCCCTTGGAGTAACCCAAGCGCTCCACCTGCTATGCCATCTGGACTCCCACCAAGTGGTGCAGCACCCGTCACTGTGCCTTTCGGACCAGCACCAACAGGAATGTACCCCTCTATGCCGCCAGCTGGACCACCACCAGGACCCCCAGCACCCTTTCCTCCTTCTGGACCATCATGTCCCCCACCTAGTGGTCCTTATCCAGCCCCTACTGTGCCAGTCCCTGGCCCCACAGGGCCATATGCTACGCCAAATATGCCCCTTCCAGAGCTACCTAGGCCATACGGTGCACCCACAGATCCAGCTGGTACTTTAGGTCCATGGGGATCCATGTCTTCTGGACCTTGGGCACCAGGCATTGGGGGGCAGCATCCTAATATGCCGTATCGATCTCCAGGGCCGTATCCCACCGCTCCTCCTCCAGTGTCAGGAGCACCACCTGTTCCATGGGGCACTGTGCCACCAGGAGCCTGGGGACCACCAGCACCATATCCTGGCCCTGCAGGATCATATCCCACGCCAGGACCCCATCCTACTCCGAATAATCCTTACCAAGTGCCTTCAGGACCTTCTGGTGCTCCACCGATGCCTGGTGGCCCCCATGTAAGTGTTCGGTTTGTTACTGACCACGTGTGTAGTCCGAGTCACATTGGCACACTGGAAGATTGTCCTAGGTGGGAGATCAGAGAACTAATACTTAAATAGTTGTGAGTCTGTGCATTGAGTCAGATGTGAGACCTTCAGGTTCAGGTGCAGCATTGTGCAGAACTGAAGTATTGCTGCTGTGAACACAGAAAGGGGAGATCTCAGAGTTCCCTAAAGACTTGCACTATGATAAGCAGTGTGCCCCCCAGCACTTAGATGACTAAGATGCATGTCGTGGGCTGTGGTGTTGCCAGTGGGGGATTGTTTTACAATTCTTGGTGCCCTTTTCCTGCATCACACCAAAGTGCAGCTTGAGAAAAAGCTTGTCTGGGTTGGTGGAGAGAACATGGGGCAATGAGTGTATGATAGACATTGCCCAGCTCACACAGTTCTCCCAGGCGTTTTGTTTTCTTTGAGACAGGGTTTCTCTGTGTAGCTCCGGCAATCCTGGAACTCACTGTGTAGACCAGGCTGGCCTTGAACTCACAGGTCCTCCTGCCTCTGCCTCCCGGGTGCTGGGCTTAGAGGCATACACCACTACTGCTTGGCCCCCCTCCCTAGTATTTTTGAGTCTGGCACTATGCCACTATTCTTGTAAGGCAATCTGTTAACTCCTAACCTACCAAATAACCAAGCACATCTCTATAGAGTCATTAAATATCTGTCTGAGCTGTGAAGAGAAACCTTAGTAAAGTGTCCCCTGAAATTTCACGAGTACAATCTTGCTGTATACTCCCCCAGATTTTTCTTTTCTTGCAAAGTATGGCACAGCAAATAACATGACTTGGTGTTTGCATTTATTATGCAGTAAGTTTATTTTAAGCCGCCACAAAGAGTTAATGACTACACATACTAAGTATATGTGGGAGGCACAGAGGTCCTCGTGCTCACAGGAAACCAGGAATGTTAAACACACAGGGTTGTCTCCTCTAAGGAGATGTATAACCTGTTTTCTGCCCAGAAAACTGGGAGCAGATGTGATTAATAGCCTGGTGACTTTTGCGTTATCTGAGTGGCCGAGACCATGCTGGATCCTTACCATGAACTTGTCAATCTATATCTTTATGTCATGTATACATAAAGGTTTGATGTACTTGTGTCTTAAGCTTTGTTGTGCACACGGGATTTAGTTACTTACCATCAAGAAATTCTTCAGGAAGTTGTGCTGTGCTTAAAATGAACTCCTTAGAGTCAGACTCCTGAAGTTGGAACCAACACCGGCTACTGAGTCGTGTTGCCTCTGATTTCTTGCCTCCCATGTATCATTACTCATTATTTCCAGAGACCCTCTGCAGCTGGTGCCAATGTTATTAAATAATGCTGCTACTCAAGTGCCGGCTCAGAATTACTTGCTTACTTCCTTATCAATGACTTGTCCTTCATCATCTACTGGAATTCTGTGTCAACAAAGTAATGGTATTATAGAAATTTATGCATGACATAATTCTCCACAACATTTTGTGTCTCCTTGATTACAAGAAGTTATATACTTAAATGATTGTTAGGACACTTGGACACTTCTTTTTTTTTTTTTTTTTTTTTCTTTTTTTGGTTTTTCGAGACAGGGTTTCTCTGTATTGCTTTGGAGGTTGTCCTGGAACTCGCTCTATAGACCTCGAACTCACAGAGATCCGCCTGCCTCTGCCTAATGAGTGCTGGGATTAAAGGCGTGTGCCACTAATGCCTGGCTGTTAGGACACTTCTTAAATAACTTCCTGGTAAAGAGCCTACAGGATTTTAGTGCCAGTAGATAAAATTCGGGTTGTTTTTTTCTATACTGATAAAAATCGGCAGGTAGCATTAGCATGTTACTTAGGATCTGTAGATAATCATTATCTAAAGACCCACTTTTAAGAGGTTTTGAAGATACCCCATAGGTATTACCTAAAGTTATCTAAAAATCCTGTAGAGATTGCTATTAATGCTTTTACAGATAATTCTTCAAAAGGACAAGGAGCTTATGTTTTTACGCTATTTCCACATCCTCCATAAAAATAATTGTTCCCTCCCCAGCTCAAGAGTCTGTACTCCCAGTCAGCTTTTATTAGATGTTTCTCAGCTATTGAATATTTTAAGATGTTCTGCATGTTGTACTCAAACTTTCTCTTTTAGAAACTGCACGACTTAAACCCATATCCACTGCTAATGTTACTTCAAATTTATTTCTCTCCCTTCAGACGTCTATATGACAACAAACTCAGCGTTGTTTTATAAGTTGTGTTCATGCTCATTCTAATTTGCTTCCTCCTCATCCATAATTCTTTCTTTTCAGGTCACTCAAAACTCTCAAACAAAATTCTAAATCTTTGCAGGTGTGATCCTTTACCTCTTGAGCAAGCTCAACAGATCATCAAAACCTGTCCTGTTCTTTCTTCCCACACCCATCTGTAAAGGAATTGATCCCCAGGGGCTGGAATCTAATGCCATCCTACCTCAGAATCTGGACATTTAAAATATGTTGATACTTTTTCTAATATGATTGTTGCTTCTCTTCACAGGGGCGAAAAGTCATTTATTTGTTGTTTGTTTGTTGCATGCCTTTTCCTTTCTAGGACTCCCGTTACAACTAAAAACTGATAATGGTCTTCTTTACACTAGCAACTACTCTAAAGAATTTTGGAATTTACAGAATATTAACAATGTTACTGGAATCCCTTATAATCCACAGGGTCAAACTGTTAAGGAACACCACCATCAGATACTTAAATGGCAAACTTTAAAAATAAAAAGGGAATGTAGACACCCAACTAAGTCCCCACACAGTATGCTATATTTAGCTATGCTAACATTACATTTTTTTACTTTAAAGGATATTGTTTCTTCTGCTCCCCAAAAGCATCTTGCCCGAAAGGAGTCACAGCCTACAGTGTAGGTTAAATGGAAAGCTTTAGAGACATGAGTGGAGGGACCCAGTGTTCATTCAACATCAGGGCAAGGTTATGCTTGTGTCTTTCTAGACAATGAATGAAGTTCCAGGTGACTCCCATTCTGATGAATCTGAGCAGGAGAGCACCCCAGAGTCCACTGGGCAAAGGAAACTTCTCAAGGTAGACAACAAACCTATCAGGAAGCGACATCCCAAGAGGAAGAGTAAGCCAATAACTTGGGGAGACATCAAGAATTTAACTCATCAAGCTGAGACCTTGGGGAAACAACAAGGACACAGTACAACTGACCCAAAAATGATGTTGTTAAATTTAATGACTATATTACATGTTAATTCTCAGCGTGACCCTTCAGATCCCAAATGATTTTTCATTGCGGGAGATAAAGGTATTCCTGGAGTAAACAGTATAATGTTGTTTTGCCATTTAAGTATTATTTTAGTCCTTTGAGACCAGTTGTATGGACAAAAGATAGTGTACAAATATTTAGTCACATGAGTGGAGGATATATTGGTTGAACTAATTTGATAGATCAGTCCAAACACAGTAATACAGATTTTAGCATAACTAAGTACTCTTTAGAAAGCTCTGGGAGTAGAAATTATAGTTGAATGATGATTTTAAAAAAGGAATTTCTGATGTATTGATATTATTGTACCCAGAAGAGTGCTATCTGTTTCCAATGGTTTAGAAAATAACCTCTGGCTTCCTGTGGTGCATATCAGTCAACAAGACCAATCTTTGTGCAGAGCAGACCTATCTAATCCTGGCCTATTAAAAAGAAATTTATATGATGTAGGAGTTACTCATATACATTATTCACAAATAACACAGGATGAAATAGAATCTACCCATGCCCATATTCATAGGGCTTCCCCTGATGGTCCTGTTTTTTTGGGTCTTTTATTTTGTTTGCATATTGTTTCTGCTTTAAATGTACTTTTATCCCTGCTTATTGCAATTTCATGTCTAATAATACTCTTCCCTCTGGTAAACAACTGCCTTTTTAATAACGAAAATGCTACTTATAATGTCCTTGCTATGAGTTGTAAAGGTTTATGTTGGATATGCTATATTACATCCATTTTGTTCAGTAAATCTTTGCAATCGATTAATAGAACAGAGAGCTCTTCTGAAAATGTGCTGATTCTTTCCATCTATTACTGCATCCTGTAGTGGTTACAGCCATTATAGCTTTTTTTATTGCCAGTTCCAGAAATGATTACTGTAATACAAAGAGAGGTCTCAAAGATGGCCTTGTATGATTAGTAAAACTGCTAATATTACAGCAAGTATACTAGCAGAAATTAATCAGAGATGGGTGAATTGAGAACCACGGTTTTACAAAATAGAGCTACCATGGATTATTTGTTGCTCAAAACATAATCTTAGTTGTTGATAATTTCCTGGTATGTGTTGGTTTAATGTGTCAGATTTTTCTCATACTATTGATGATCAAATTAATGATTTGCATAAAGAGATAAGCTCTTATGGTAATCTTTAAATGGCCATCCTAGTTATGATCGATTTTGCCTTTTTTGGGTGCATTGTTAGCTATTCTTATAATTCTGTCATGCTTGTCTGTATTAGACTAGCCACATAGACAGTGCATTCAACCTTTGGCTCTCTGTAAAAAATAAAACGGGGGTGATATGGGAGCTCTAGGGGAACCAGGAATGTTAAACACACAGGGTTGTCTCTTCTAAGGAGGAGATGTATAACCTGTTTTCTGCCCAGAAAACTGGGAACAGATGTGGTTAACAGCCTGGTGACCTTTGGCTACCTGTGTGGCAGAGACCACACTGGATCCTCCCCAGACCCTTACTGTACACTTGTCACTCTGCAGGATCTATCTTTATGTAAGATGTCATATGTACTTTACAAAGTATTTCTATGTGCTCCCGTCTTAAGTGTCATTGTGTATATGGGATTGAGCTATTTATCACAAGAAATTTTTCAACAAATTGCGCTGTACTTAAATATGCCTAAAATAAACTATTCAGGGTCAGACTCCTAAAGTTTGAACCAGCTACTAAATCCTGGTGAACTGGGCTGCTTGCTCCTGCAGACTGTTGCTTGTCACCCGATGCATGTGGAGAGGAAGCCATGTGTGGCAGGCAGCCATGTGTAGGTGAGCTGCATTCGACAAAAACATGTTTTTCCATAGAGATATGATTAACAACAGCTGAAGTAAATTCATTCCTGCCGAATACAGGAATATGCAAGCATATTCCAAACACTTCTGTGTTATTGAAGAAACTGAGGTCACAAGGATAAAAGATACCCAGAGTGCTTTGTTTTGAAATGTTGTAGATAAATCTAATTGTCATTTGATGCATGAGTATCCTAGAAGCAAACAAATTATAAATTAATAATTTTAAAACGGTTAAAAGCATTGCATGTAATACTCTGCCACCAAGAACAGAAACCCAAAATATGTCCAATATGTTGGTTACATTATTATAGATCAGAAAAATCTAGAGAATACCTTGAAAAGAGACACACATAATTAGTAGTTCTCTTGTCTTACAGAACTTTAAGAGGAACAGAAATGTTCTGATGACCTATGCAAATAGAAAGTGATTTAAATCCCTAGAAAAATTAAATGCAGCTCCTTCTTCAGCTAAATGAAGGAGTCATCAGTAAAGCTAGCCCTGCAAGATCTGTCCACTCTACAAGTTGAAGCAAAGGAGGATGAGAAAGTAAAGCCAATACAGAGGCACTCACTGCAGATGCTCAGGTCAAAGCAGCTAGCATCGCCAGAGAGAGTTCTCAGGTGGCATGGCACTGTGTTTTGTAAGATAGCCTCTCCCATGGTGCACAGGGCCTTAACTTGGTCCCACGTGGGCACATTTGTTATTTTTTGCCCTTTAGCTGGAAGCTGTCCTCCATGGTCTTTGATGGCCCAGGGCTGCAGGAGCCAGAGGATTTCATGTTTTGATGAATCCATCTGCAATGACAGACTCATAACCATTCCCAATTTTTTTTCAGCCAACCAGGCTTCCAAGTCTGAAATTGTTTAAGCCACACAGGCCCAGAATGTTCTGTAGAGAAACATTTTTGAACTCTTCTAAACATACCACATTAAGGCAAAGTTTCAAAAATTAAAAGTAAATAAGGAAAGTGCAAGACTATCTGTTGGTTCTCCTCCTGTTTTGTTTTGCTGTTTTAATGATTGTTTTAGTGTTCTGTGTTCTCTTTCAATTATACCCTGGCCTTGAGGGCTAAAATGAATGCCTATAGTATGATTGCTGTTCATTCTTTATAGAAGTTGAGTTTTACTGATGTCGGCTGGTCCATTGTCAATTTAGTAGGCGCTCCCATAACAGGGAAAGTTTGTATAGGAGAAGAGCATACTTCTCTGAAAACTGAGGTTCAACCCAGAGAAATTGAGATCGTGTTTCAATGCAGATGGCCTGGTACATCTGAGGCACAAGAGCAAATGAGAGACAAGCATTTGCCATAATTCATTATTATGTTACCTCTGGAATTGACTTGAGCTATGGCTATGACAGTATGAGGTAGCACAAATACAACGTTCCTGCAGTTTCATCTAAGTGGGTGTAATGGTATACATACAGTCCTTTAGTATTAGTGTGTAGTAAGTTTGATTCTCTTGTTCTGGAGAAACAGTGTAAATTTGCTCTTACAACAAAGGAATACTCAGAATCAAGTCCCTCCTGTTTTATGTCCTAAACATGATAAAAGAAAATATTGGACTAAGGAATGCCTAATTTGATAATGGTAAATTTGATAAGATTAATGGGAACATTAATAACATAAGCTGTAAGACTAATATCCCTTCTGTACTAACACATTTTAATTTTGTACCCCTTTGTTTAATCTTAGTGGAGCTCATAGTTCTGAACCCTGTGGGGTTTGAATTTCCCTCCATAGCAGGCCATTTGGAGGGCTATTCTTCTATGGGTATAATAGAGACATCAGTCAGCTTCAGAATCAGTTAGTCCTGTCAAAGTGATGAATAATGTGAAGTAAACTCACTTCTATCCAATGTATTTGGGAGAGACACAAAAGCAATCCAGGAACAATTCCATGTTTTTGAAGAAACTGAGGTCTTTGGTTTGTTGGAGTTTTCTCACAAGCACTCAGGAATCTTTTTTTTTTTTTTTTTTTTTTTTTTTTTTTTTACGAGACAGGGTTTCTCTGTTTTGGAGGCTGTCAGTCCAGCCTGGCCTTGAACTCACAGAGATCCGCCTGCCTCTGCCTCCCGAGTGCTGGGATGCACTCAGGAATCTTACAGGACTCTGTTCTTCGACTGTTGCAACAGTGTAGTTCCGCTGGTTGTTGTGTTCACAAAGACACACACACACACACACACACACACACACACAATTATAGAAGTTGATCTTTCCCCTTTCTTTCTGTTGCAGTACCATTAAGTTGACAGTGGATGAAGAGATGGAGCGTTTCTTTTTGAAGTACATGTACATGCACATGAAGGCATATATACAAATGGCTGGTTTCGCTATTGCTAAAGGACATTCCTGAACCAACAACTTTCGTACCTCAGAGTTCCTGCTTCATGTGTTTGGATATGTAGAACATCACGTGGGTACAATCAGATACAAATGTAAAAGCAAATTATTCAAGTGTGGTTATGTATATTGAATAGCTTTTGATAATAATTGCTTAAAGTATAGCTATACCCTCAGAATCTAAAACTACATGGATTATTGTTAGAATCTGTAACTTAATTGGCAAAGTAATTCAAGTATTTTTTTATAATCATCCCATATAACTGAAAACAATCACATAATTGAAATATGACTCCTCAACAGTTTGAGGTCTTCTACTACACAAACCTCTTGTTAAATTTTAGCTACATAAATATGTATTATGTATGTATTTACTAAGTTTAATTCAGCATTATACCCTCTTCTGCCAAAGTAAGATAATGTTACTATCAAAATTGCATTATGTTTTTTCTAGAGCTTTGACAGAGCTCTAGAAAAATGTTGGTGCCAAATGCACTTTAACGGGAGTCAGACTGCCCATGCTCTGAGCCCAGCCTCAGGAGGAGACAGAGAGATGGAGGGCGTAAGAGAGGCCACTGCTGCTGGGCGGTCACTGTTGCAGGGCCTCATAGCCCACCAGGGGGAGCTGGGACCTTTCGTCTCTGGCCAACAGCAGGCCCAACAGGATGTCAGAGTCCTGTTTGACAATCCAAATTCGAATTCACAGATCATTTTTCTATAAGAGAGCACTTCTAACATTGTATTATTTCCTTATAAGTTAAGTTACTGGCTGGACTTAATAAACATTTATGACTTTTTTAAATGGGAAAATTGCTCTAAATTCCAAATGACATTCTCATAATGACTTGAACCACAACCTGCTTGAGTGGTGGTAGAATTACACACATGTAATACATGTTTCTTGGCCTCAGTATACAGGACAACTGAAGTGGAAAACTTGATTGGCAAAGCCATGGTCCAACCTCTCAATAGACCAGGTATAGGAGACAGAGCTTGTGCTGGGGTGCCAGGGGTGCCATGACAGTGACTGGTGACCCAAAAATGTCACTGATCTTCCTGCCAGGTGGGTTTAGGCGTTGGTTCACAAAGATACTCCTGAGGTGCATTTAGTACCAACATTTTTAGAGCTCTAACAGAACAAGAAACCTATTTTAGAGCTTAACGCAGTTTTGAAAGGAACACTTTGTTATTTTGGCAGAACTGGATATAATGATTGAATTAAGCTTAGTAACCACAAAAAGATAGCTGATTATTCTAACAGGGTTTTCTTGGGTCTGGAGCCTCCACTGCCAGTCTGAGCATCTGGGCTGGAATATACCATCACTCTTCTGCCTACCTTTGTAAGTTTTAGCCAATAATTACCAGCTGCCAAATTCATCCACCAGTGTTTTGTTTGTTGTTTTGTGGGGAGAGTTGTTAGTAGAATTTAATGACCCATCTTGCATGGTATGTTGTGGGTGGTACTTCATTTAAACCCTTGTTCTTTGGACTTTTCAACTGATAATTGGGAGTTATTGGACTTATTATTTAATGTAAGTGGAAATCAAAATGATAGCAGAATTTTCTATGTTATTATGTTTTTTCTCAGAATATTTCTCTTGTTACCCTCAGGGTAGAGTATTTCTAGGTTCAGGCTAGAATCAAGAAAAGCAAAAATAAAATAAAAGGTAGCCAAATGAGGAAAATAATGCAGAAAGGGTTTTCTATTTTTGTTTTAACCCAAGAAAAGAATAATAATGGTTTCAGAACAAACCTTGCTGGGCCAGAACTGGTCTACTAAAAAGAAAGCTTGTCAATAAGTGTTTGGTTCAAATTACAGAATTTGTTGACATGGGTTGATAAAAATTTTTAAATATGGCAAAAACAGTTGAGGTGTGTGCAGGAATAATGTCTCTGGCATTGAAATTTTAGGTTTTACAGTGTACACTTTATTCAAGAGTTCCCTCATTTGTTCATCTTGCTGTCAGTAGAGGGTAACAGGGAAGGCAACAGAATGTTCCAGAAAACAGTTTTCTTGTGGACTAGGAAGATGGCTCAGAGGTTAAGAGTACTGATTGCTCTTCCAGATGTCATGAGTTCAATTCCCATCAACCACATGATGGCTCACAACCATCTGTAATGAGATCTGGTGCCCTGTTCTGTCAGGCAGGCAGGCAGGCAGAACATTGTATACATAATAAATAAAGTCTTTGCCAGGCAGTGGTAGTGCTCGTCTTTAATGAGAGGCAGAGGCAAGTATATCTCTGTGAGTTCAAGGCCAGCCTGGTCTACATACTAAGTTCCAGGACAGGCTCCAAAGCTACACAGAGAAACCCTGTCTCCAAACAAACAAAAATCAAGATGCACTTCACAAGCTAACACTGACTTTACACACACACACACACACACACACACACACACACACACACACACACACACACACACACACACCAGCTTTTGAAACTTGGTGTAGATTGGAGACAGATCTGCTCCATCTCTGGTAAGAGGATCCTCATTTTCATAACAGCTACCTACACTTGTAAACAACCAGTGCCATGTGTTCCTGGCCTCAGTGATTTAGAGCTGCTCTGTCAAGTGCCAGCATTGCAAGCTCTGGAGATTGAAATGCAAGCTCAAGCCTCTGATCGGCCCAGTGTCCAGAGACGTGTGAGCCTGCCTGCAGGAGCTGCTGAGAACAGCCGTGTCCTCGGGGAAGACAGATCCTAGGGGAGCAAATCTCACTTTATTTTCAGAATTCTGCCAAGTGAAACGAAAGTGGGGATGGGGCCTAAGATTGCATGCACACTTCTAGCCATAGAACCCACCTGAGGACTGGTTCTGTCCGGTGTGGGTATCTGTGATGGGGCTCCCTGTGCTAGAGAGTTAGCCACACCAATACCAGCCACCTAGGTAGAAAGTAATTAACAAAGCTGTCAGGATAGCACATTTTAAGTGGCACTAGATTTTAAATTTGATTTTTTTTTTTTTTTTGAGACAGGTTCTCACTGTAACTCTGGCTCTCCTGGAGCTGTTAATCTGTTAATGTAGATGAGGAACTCCGAAACATCTTCCTTCCTCTGCCTCCCAATGCTGAGATTAAAGGCATGTCCCTGGCTTGTTAACTCTGTGTGTGTGTGTACAGATACTCATATATATGTGTGTGTGTGTGTGTGTGTGTGTGTGTGTGTGTGTGTGTGTGTGTGTGTGTGTGTATGGTGGTGGCTCATGCCTTATAAACCAGCATTCAGTGGACGCAGAGGCAGTCAAATCTCTGAGTTCCAGGACAGACAGGGTTACACAGAGAAACCCTGTCTCCAAAAATGACAAAAGCAAAGGAATATATTTCAAGATCATAATGCTGACCAGTGCAACTATTCAAGTGTGCAAAGTAGCAGAATGCCTTCTGCTTTTCTGGACAAGGGCACGTGCATAGGCTGTCACTCATTAAAAGGTGTTGGCTTGGTCCATTAAGTAGATCTCACATATCTGCTCTATTGAGGTTTTTTGTGATTCTTTTCTTAAAATTGTGATTTTCCACTTGTGGAATAATGGTAAATTCGATGTGTTTTACAGTCTATGTATTTTAACTTAAACTACCTGTTGTGAGGTTTGAGACATACACGTTTGTACCATGCACTTGTAAGCAATGGAGGAGACATGGTTTTATCGCCTGCTGCTGGATTTGTAAACAAAGACAAATGTTGCTTGAAGAAGGAATCATAATTAAAAGTAGGCTACAGATGCGATGCTTGATATTTTTAAGGTAAAGTTATTTGTGTTTGTGTGTAATACCTAAAAGCATTTTTAAGAAATGTATTTTCATGGTTTCACAGTTTCTCCATGTATTTTGTTCCTGGGACCCAATTCTAAGCTTCCCTAAAAAGTCCAGAGCCCATTTAACATCTTATTTGTAAAGAAAGCGAGGACCTGTGTGCGTGTGACCTGCACTCTCTGAGGAATCACACCTGCTGCCTGGAAAGAGCCTTGCTTCCTAAACACCCTTCAGCAGCAAGGTGCCAACACCTGTATGAGGACGCTGGATTGTCTGCCTGAAGTCAGGGAACCATCCCTCTCCACCCCTGCAGCCACCACCCCCATGCTTACAAACTGTGACTCCCTTTGCTCTGATGTCACACATGTGGTGAGGCAGGGTCCCAGTAAGCCTACTGAGGTTGATCCTGTCCTGGGAGTTAGCCAGCCTTACAGCTCCCGAGAAGGAAAATGCTGGAAAAGATTGTCACATAAACACGAAAGAGGAAGGAGTGTAACCACTTCCCCATCCCAGGCACGACTGGCTGCTTAGATCAGGTTGGGGTGGGGAGTACACAGTTTGGGGCAAGCGACCAAGCAGCTAGAGTCTCAAACTGGTGCTCAGGGAGCAGACGGAGAAGTAAATGTCCTCCAGCAGGCCTGAGAGGACACAGAGTTTTGGAGTTTCTCTGGGTGATCTGAACAGTCCAACAAGAGTGCACAGGTCTTCAGCTGGGAGATTGGGGGTCTCACACCAGAGATAGTCACCAGTCAACACAAGAAACTGGCTGGTGTTCCTGGGCTTTCCCAGTCACCATGTTCTGCCCGAATTGTCAAAGGACCACCTGACTCCAAAGACGGTCAATCGATTTCACAGAAATAGTCATTGTATCCATTCCCCTCCACAAAACACGGCAGCAACTCCCTACAGCCACAGCTGATGCCTGAAGTGGGGGTGGGGTGGGGGTGGAGTGTACAGATGGAAGGGGAGTGCTGCATGGGTGGCTCACTGGACCATGCGTCTCTGAGAAGTTGCGTGTCATCTCAGGGGCTGCAGCAGCTGTAGCCCCAGGAGGGCTCACTCTCCCTTCATCTTATATCAAAGGAACTGACAGAAACATGTAGAGGTGCACAGTAACAACAACCAGGGATGGCCACCACACAGACCAGAGCAATCTGGTGAAGTCTCACCCAGACCCTTGACCTGGATTCCCACACCAGCCTCTCATGTATGTCCTAAACAGAGAATGCCTCAACAGACTTATCTCTACTGGTGACAGACCAGGTGACTTTCAATTTTGTCTCCCTATAGCGGTAGAGGTATCTGATTCCTCAGACGCATTAGGAAGCTATCCATTAGAGGGAATCCCAGGGTCCTGGAATGGCTCAAGATGTGCCTATTCCAGAAGCTCCTAGACTATCACATTCCCATTCCAAGGGGTTCCAGACCTTCAGTTTCTCTAAGTCTGGTCTTGGCAATCTCACTGGGGTCTCCAGAAATGTGAGGTATATGCCAGAGAAGACTACTTGGACATGGGTTCAAACCCATAAAAAGTCTTTATTAGCTGGCCAGCAATGATCCTGGGTGTTTGGAATCCCAGTGTCACATGAGATTTTCTCAAAGTGGACATTTAAGAACAAAAATCACATTCTGGGTTGACACACCTTATTAGCAAGAATTGTTAGCCAGAAGCACAATTACAGAAGCCAAAAAGCAAGGTTTGTACACCTAGGGACTTTCCCAGAGTCCGGGACTTTGATAGGTTATGTCTTTATTCTCATTTTAGCAGGTGTTGCTACCTATTTGGATTCAAAGCCTGAATGGTTCTTCCGTCATGACATCAGTTGTGCTAAGGTCTGGTGGTCTGTTGCACTGATACTAAATTGACGGAAGCAAGCTACTGGCTTCATTGTTTTCCTGGGTGTCTTTTCAGTACAGTCGTAAGTGTAATAATCTATGATTTGGGGCTTTGTTGTTTTCAAACAATATCCTAATAGTGTTTTGAATGAGATAGCTCATAAGCTCACGTGTATGAATACTTGGTCCCCAGTTGGTAGAACTGCTTAGGAAGGATTAGCAGGTGTGGCTTGGTAGAGGAAGTGTGTCTTGGGAGTGGTTTTGAGGATTCAAAGACTCTAGCCACTTCCAGTTAACTCTCTCTGTCTTCTACTTCTAGACCAAGATGGGAATGCTCAGCTGTTCCTTCCTCAAGTTCTTGTTCTAACCCTCTGGAACTGTAAGCCCTAAATTAAACACTCAGGTTCATAAGTTGCCTTGGTCCCCTATATTATTACAGCAACAGAAAAGTAGGTAAGACAGCTCAAAATGGCAGCACCTGGTAAGAGGGCTGTGTGACTTTGTGTCATATTTCCAATTAGGTTCTCAGTGCTTCCTAAGTATGAAACCATCAAGGTACTTTATGAGCTTGGCTGAAAAACTATTTCTTGTTTTTCTCAATGATGCTTGATTATCCTTATAGTTTTAACATTCCAGTAATAGAAAAAAACAACAAAAATCAAGTCTTTTGAGTTTGCACATTCTTTGTCAGGAAGCATGATAAATTCTAGACACATCCATTGTGATGATTTCCAAGATTAGACTGATTTCTGAATCCTCAGTTGTCTCGAAGACTGGAATGTTCCCCCTTTGTCAGTAACAGATGAGACCTGATGCTGCCCTTCACTAAGTCAGGTGATTGTGAAAGGCAGGGAGAGGAAACCCCATTTGCCAGACCTCACTTAGCTTTGCTTCATCTGAGCAAAGAAAGGCATTGTGACTAAATGAATAGCCTTCATAGTTAGCATGGTGGTTAATGTCAACTTGACAGCACCCGAAATTGCCTAGGAGACATGCCCCTAGGAACACCCATGGAGGATTATTAGTTTATTAGAACTATTATATAAAGCATTACTAGGTTAGGTTAACCTCTGGTCATGCCTGTGAGGGACTGTTTTGATTTAGTTGAGGTGGGGAGATCCACCCATTATGAGTGACTGGCATACTGTACTGGATACGATGGGGGAAGTGACCTGAGTATTAGCATCATCTGCTCCCTGACTGCAGTCACAGTTCAACCAGCTCTCAAACTCCTGCTGTCTTGACTTTCCTTGATGGAGTGCCTTGCAGCTATAAAACAAAGTACACCTTTCTTCCTTAAATGTTGCTTGTGTAAGAGTATTTAATCACAGCAACAGAGAAGCAAGAAAGACAAATAGTTTTTTCTTAAGCTGGATGGGTAGTGTGTATTAAAACCCGTCATAACCTCAATCAGGAACTGTAACTTATTATCTAGGAAAACTGGGAATGTAGGGGAAGAGAAAACACTGGGCTCAGAGAGCTTCTCCTTTCCCGGATGGTTTATGGGAGCACTGAGACTCAGAAGCAGAAAGTTGTGAACTGCAAGGGACCCGAAAGGACACAAACCCAGCCCCATGGTGGGATCCCTGAGGAGTCACATGGTGGATATCTCGAGCCACAGTGGGATCCCATGAGCTCCACCTCCTCAGCACTGGGAAGTAATTTCCTCTCTCCTCGCTGTCTGAATCCAGTTCCATCTTGCCTGCCTCTTCCTGACATGTGTGATGGTAGCAAGACTTTGATCTCTCATGCTTCTATGCTCTTCCTTTTGTATTGATGGCCACACTGCTTGTTAAAAAAACACCTTGCAGTGATGCATTCACTCCTGAGTCTATCCTATAGCCAAATAGTGACTTTGAACAACTCAACCTTAAGCACTTGAATTCTGCTGTGCCTAGCATTAACTTTGTTCACATTTGAAGGTCAGGCTTCTCTGGGCCTGCACATACAGAGTCTTTGTGTCTCTCTTCAAGTGAAAAACCAAAATCAAAACCAAAACACAAAACATACAGAAAAAAACAAAACATAAACTACCCCTTCCTGTAATTCAGTGGGACGTACAGTAGGGGAGCCCAGGGCCAGGCAGTTTTGAAATTCATCATCCTTAGCTGGGAGCTAGGGTCCAGTACAGGGACTGGTACAGAGAGCTGCCCCAGGCCAGGCACAACCATCTTCATGTTCTCTGGTGTCCCTGCCTGCCACAGTCACAGTTCACTCTCCTGTGTGACCCTCACCACCACCAGACTACTTGCCCTCACTCCAAAGCCTCCAGTTACTAGCAGGCAGAGCCTCCCAGAACTCCAACCCCTCCAACTGACCTGCCCACTACCTCACGTTGAGAAACCTACCACTCTTTCAGCCTCTTCTCCTGCAAGCTTTGGTCTTAAGTCCCACACTCCTTCCAAATGGAGCTACTAAGCCTGGACAGGCTGCCCTTGTTTGTGCCTGCATTCTTCTACATTTCTGTCCTTCAGACCCAAAACTTGGCCTTGGTGCCTCTCCTCTTGTTTTCTCAGTCCCGTTCTAGAATCTTTTCAAAAATACTTTCATGTAGAAGGGATACTTATTGTTGTCTGTTACACAGATTAACCCTGTCTCCAAAAACCAAAAAAAGAAAAAGAAAATAAATATTTATTGTCTCAAATTTTGGAAAACACAGGAAATTATCAGTGGACAAAAGCATGCTTTTCTTTGATTCATTTTTGCAAGATATTTTTGTGTACATATTTATTGGTCACATCTTAAAGTAGTTTGTATCCTGATTTTATCACTTAGTGTTACATGATAAGTTTTCTCTTTAGTGTTTATGTTAGTTGAAAAAACTTTTTAAAAAGTTCTATGTTTAGTGAATATATTATATGTAAATCAAGGTATATTTGAAGTTTTGTTTGTTTAGACTTTATTCTTGTAGTTTCTTTCTTTTCTTTGTTTTTGCTACTTAAACTAAGCCTACAATTTTAAAAAATATAGTTCTGGCAGTATCTCTATTTCTTCTTTTGGAGCAAAATTCAAGAGTGGAAATACTGGTACCCCAGGCCTTCTCAGACTCCTGTCACTTGCTAAGGCTCCTACCAAGAAAGGTATGTAGAAACTCACATACTCACCAGAGGTTTGTGAATATTTACACTGCAATAACCTTCTGAATTTTGCAAGTCACAGTGTTTTCTGTTTAGTCCTCCATCATTTAATTCACATTTGTGCATTTCTTTGGTGAGGCTGAATGATTTTCTACATTTCTGGACTCTATGCATTCTCTCTTCTGTGGACTGCCTTTGAGTGTCCTTTTCAGTTTTCAGTTGAGGTTGACATGTCTACCTATTTCCAGTGTTTTAATGAAACATCTGCTCCCTGTGAAGTTCTTTGGACAGGCCCATGTTTGGCCCTCCTGGGGATGTCTTGGCACTGCATGTAAACATTTACTACCGAGAGTTGCCAGTGGTGTTACAACCTTTACAGTCTTGTCTCCCTCCAGTGGGCAATGAGCAATTAGCAACTAGTACCTGACCATTCCCTAGGCACAAAACCTGTGTCGAAGATTTACTGTTGCACCGATGATTTACTGAATTAATGATAAATTAGGGAGGGTCCCTGTGCAGCACCTGGACATGGGTTTTATCACAGCAGTTTGTCAGCATTTCATGAAAAGCAGCAGGAGCGATAAACTCTTGGATGAGCTTGGGAAATTTTTCTTAAGGTAATGTAAGTGCCGTAGGACTTAGAAAAATTCACACTTGCAGGGCTAGAAATTGAAATATTGCTGGCAATTGTTTGCTCATAAAAAATCAGATGTTTATCTTTTATCTCAAGAAACAATTTCCTCCACAAAATATTATAAAATTACATTTATTTATTCATCTGGAGCATTATTAAATTATCTGGACAATTGCCCTAGCATACCTTCTAAAAGTAGGACACAAAAAAGATGTACTTCCTCAGGAAAAGGAAAAATAAGGCCTCATTAATATTTAACATAGAAATGAAAGCCAAACCAAAACCAAATGTGTTTCTCATTGAGTTATACCCTCAAATTATACTTCCTATATCCCTAATTTGGCCTTTTCACAGTTTTGTCATAAAATATGTATATATATATAATGTGTCAAATACACACACACACACACACACACACACACACACACACACTACCATCTCTGAGAGCTCAGAAAAACCAGAGGAGAGAAAAGTGGGTTTTCTATTGAAACAGAAGTTAGCTCTTCTTGTTTTTGGAAGGCACTCCGGGTGGAGGCCTTGAGACCATCTCAAAATCTGAGTGGTTAGGGTGCACAGGGACTAGAGAAGTCTCTCGTGTTCCCATCTGTTGATTTCAATAGTGAAAGCTCTTGCTGTGAGGAGGAACTAGAACTTTCTGTCCCCCTGCAAGGGCCTCCCCTTTCTCTTTTGGGCACAGTGTTGCTGAGCTGTGAAAACGCAGGTGTAATTAAAGTCTCCAAGTGTCGTCCTGAGCCACACTCTGATTCTGCAAGCACTCCTCACAGGGAATTTCATAGTGAAGGAAACTGCAATGGGCAGGTGTGAAGGCCAGTGCCATCACCCTCCACAGGGGCTAAGTCCTGGGTGGGCCTCTTCCTGTGCTAAATGCCCTGTGAGTTCACACAGCTGAAATCGTAAATAATACAGCTATGTGGTAAGTCACACTCCAGTGTTTTTCCAAGAAACAAACCCTTTTCTCCAAAGAATTCATCAATGTAATAAGTGAGGCTCCATGAATTGATAGTTTTAGAATCAATACCCACATTACTGATTCCCACTGACATTGCTGCCTCCATCTGCAAGAGCCCAGACTTCCAAACACCACAATTTTCTTTGTTCCATTTTGAGTTGTGGGTCCTAGATACAACATGCCTCATGTATACCACACGGGAGTTGTACATCTTCACCCGAGGCCAGTGAGCTCCCTGACATGGTCTCCCCAGATGCCTGACCTCGACTGGTTTCCCAATTCACTTCTCTGAACAATATCTATAAATTAGATTATTCTTAGCCCATTTGACAAAACAAACAAACCCCCAAACAAACAACAAAAAAACTGGAGCAATTATGCTACAAAATAAGTTAGGTTTTACTAAAACACGACAAAACATATTGTGAGCAGTTGTAGGCTTGTTTAAGAATACCCACCATAAAATTTATAAACAGACAATGGTATTTCTACCATATTTAAGTAAAAATCCACAGTTCTCAAGACTGCTCTAAAATTTAGGGCCACCAGGTATAAATGTTGGGACAATTAATATCATTGCTATAATGCTTTTTTGTTTTGTTTTTACGAGACAGGGTTCCTCTGTATTGTTTTGGAGGTTGTGGGTCCAGCCCAGCCTCGAACTCAGAGACCTGCCTGCCTCTGCCTCCCGAGTGCTGGGATTAACGTCGTGCGCCACCACCGCCCGGCTGCTATAATGCTTTTAACAGTGTTTACAACATGCACATTTTAGTTGCTGTCAATAGCATGATATTTTAAACTGGACCAAAATGATTTATGGATACAGATTGACAACCTATTGTTAAATCAGATACATGCTTTAGTTATGGGAGATATTTTGAAATCTACTTTTATTATTTTCAAGTGTGTCTGTGTGCGGTTTTGTACACATGAGTTGCAGGTGCCCATGGAGGACTGAGTCATCTACTCCCCTAGAGCTGGAGTTACAGACAGCTGTGGACCACCTGAATGGGCGCTGAGACTCAAACCCAGGTTCCTGGAAGAGCAGTGCATGCTCTTAAGTGCCAAGCCATCTCTTCACTCCCAGAGGATGTAATCTTTAAAGATTGTATTGTAGGGATTTTCTAATCGTGGTTCTTTGAGTGTGTGGTACATTTTCAGCTTACCAGAGCACTCAGGTCTCACAAAGTGGATTCCGTTTTAGATTGGTAGGAATGGCTGTGCCAGTTTCTGAAAACCAGAGGTCTTATGAAGATCTTGTGAAATAACATCCGGAATACTGGCGTCCTGAAAATGATGAAAATCCAGGGGTCCACGATTGAAATCACAGACAGAAACCGCAAGGCCTGGAGATCTCCCGAGTCTCCTTCAGTTGTGGTAACACGTTTGAAGGCTCCATAGTAAGCACGATACTGTGGGGGAAAATACAAAGAAAACCCAAAACATTACACAGGTGAGGACTTAGAAGGCAGATGGAGGGAATGAATTCCACTGCTTAGCCTGGAGTTCTCACTCTGTGGCTGGTGGATGTGGATGAGGATCTGTGAAAGTGGGGAAACTGAGTTACAGCTGGGAGACCCATCTGACTCGCTCCCTGAAGGCTGTTCCCCATCCTGGTCTCAGGTTTCCAGGACGCTGCCAGATAATGAAGACAGCACCAGGCTTCACACAGAGACACTTTAACTAGTGTCCTTACATGCACACTTTATTCAGCTGCCTACTTTCTGTCCACTCTTACTATTAGAAGTAACTGCCACACCTAGGGACACACCAACAGATGGAGCTTTGAATGGAAGTAAAAAGACAGGAACTATGAGGATAAAAACACACAAAGTGACTTGATGAAAGAAATAGTTACCACATGTAAATTCTTCCTTTAAATTGTTCATGAAAATTGGTTTTTTTGAGACAGGGTTTCTCTGTGTAACAGCTCTGGTTGTCTTGGAACTCTTTGTAGACCAGTCTGGCCTAGAACTCACAGAGATCCACTTGTCTCTGCCTCCCAAATGCTGGTATTAAACTTGTGTATCACCATTACCTGGCTGTAAATTGTTCCTTTTATTAAGATAGATTCTATGTAAGATGCTGGCAGGGGCTACCCCAAAATAGATGCCTATTTACCTGTGTCCAGCTGCCTCTTATGCCCTGATCTCACCATGGGTTTCTGTAGTTTCCTCAGAGCTCTGCCAAGTGCCTCAGGTCATGACTCCCTGTCATTCAGGTCACACTGCTGCCTAGATCAGCACAACCTCAGAACACCATAGTGATGCTGGATACCTTTACTTTTGGTATCACCCTTCCCATGCCTACTGGGTTTCTAAATCTATTATGAAACAAACTGACCCTAATGGAACAGAAACTACATAAATCCATTATTGGTAGGGGAAACTGTGCCTAAGAGTACTCGAGGCCACCCAGAAGCATCTCTTCGAGAAGATGCACATTCCTAGAATCAGTCTCCTTATGTTGACTCCCTTCTCTACAACATTGCAGTAGTCTTGGCTATTTCAGTCCAGTGCATTTGGAAGATGTTTACACAGGTTCCTCTGTTATTGATAAATGGACACCCTTTCTCCTCATCCTTGCTTCATAATGCCAACAGCAGTAATAATGGCTGATGTCCACATAGAACCTTCAACTCCCAGGCATTATTCTAAGACTTTTTGAAATTTTCATTTTCTCTTTAGAAAAGTCTTCTGAGTAAAGACAGTCATTATCTCCATTTTACAAGACTGGAAATGGATTAAATAGCCAAACAGTTCTTAAAACTGACTTCAAATATTACCCCTTTTAGGAACCTCTTTGAGACATGGGCTAAAGGTCTAAGGTTCCAGGTTGGAATCCTCTCTTCAGATGTGTGGCTTCAGGGAAGATGTTGCTTTCTTATTTTTACAAAAATGGTCACTGTGCCAGCTTTCCAGGATACTTGCAAAGATAGAATGAGACAGTGTGAAGAAATCTGCAGGAACAGGCTCTGGTATATAATAAATGCTGGATAATTAGCTTGCAAATTATTTTTTCAACTAGGAGTTGCCCATTTCCTCTGCTACACTGTTCTTTAGCCTTAGTTATTACCCTTCCCTTACATCTTATTCCAGCACTGGGATGTTCTCATTTGGTATCTCACTGAGTTACAGAGTGTGTTAGATGAGGTAGGTACCAGATATATTTCATTGATGTGTTTTATATTTGTTAATTTTCTCCTCAGAGAAGAGGTGAAATGTAATTCCAACCAATGCAAGAATGTTTGGTAATGGAATGATACGTGTATAATTAAAACATTTTATCCTTTTTAATTAAAATATATTTTATTACTTTGTGTGTTTAGGGTTGTGACACCATAGCACACATGTGAAAAATCAGAGGATAACTTGTGGGGGTTGGTTCTCTCCTTCCATCATGTGTTTTCTGGGAATAGAACTGACACCAGCAGGCTTGGCAGCAAATACCTTTACCTGCTGGGCCATCTTGCACACCAAGCTATTTTCTTTCTATGCAGTACTTATCTATGGCAATTCTACTATGTTATCTTTAATTTTACTTAGTTTTTTCTTCAAAGCTGGGGATTGAACACAGGACTTCATACAAGTCCTCGGCCAATACTCTGTCATTGAGATAAACCTTTAGTCTATTTATCTGCATATTCAAGCCTTTGCAGCTGTTATTACAAGTAAATTATTCTACAACTGGGAATTTTCAGTTGGCTCAATTTACATTAAGAACATCCACATAGAGTTTGGAGAGAAGGCTCAGTAGCTAAGAGTATTGCTCTTTCAGAGAGCCCAAGTCTGTTTCCAGCACCTATGTGGGATAGCCTACAATTGCCAGTAACTCCAGTGCCCTCTTCTGGCTTCTGCAGGCATCACAGGCACAGCCCCTAACCATATATACATAATTAAAACATAAAAATATTTTCAAATATAAAAAGAGCATTCATTTGAAAGAGTGCCCTCCGATGAGGTTAGGGGTCATTGAGAAGATGCTTCTGTTGCCAGCTTGGTGGCTTTTTACATTTGTGCTGGGATTCAAACTCAGGCCCTCACGTTACTGGCAATACCATACAACTACATTTTATAAGCTTCTTAAGTTTACTGCATGTGATTGATACAGATTCAGACACTATTCATTTAAATACAGGTTGAATGGGTCCTTTGTAATTCTTAAGAGTATTAAGAAGTCCCTAGACCATAAAAAGTTTGAGAACTGCTTCTAGGATAGCACACCGTCTCCTGAGGCGATCATACTTGCTGATTAATTTGCAATAACAATAAATGAGACCCACAATTAATAACAATACTGATAGCAGTTAGTGAAGCTAGGCATTGGGTTCTGTGACATGTGCATGAACACACACACACACACACACACACACACACACATCTATTCCAAATTGTTTGGGACTAGATAGGTTTTTGTTTTCCCTCAGAATGTGTAATATGTGCACCCATCAAGACACTGGTGTAGAATGCAGCCCTCCACAGGCACCTCTGTCCTGAGATGCATGTCTTACACACCTGTGGTCTGACACAGGCACCCTGTCTGTACTCCAGCCTTTCACTTGAAATCATGTGTGGGAATTTTCCACTTATGGCAGGACATTCATGCTCAAAACATTTTAGCCTGTGAAGCATTTGGGATTCTGCTCAAGAATGCTCACTGTGGGCTGGGGGAATGGCTCAGCGGGTAAAACCCCTGCTGTGAAAGCTTGGGGATCAAAGTTTGAATCTCTAGAGTCCATAAAGCTCATATCAAGGCACATCTGCGATCCCACTACTCACATAATGTCCTGGTTGGGTTTTGTCAACATGACAGAAGTTAGGGTCATCTGAGAAGAGGAACCTCAACTGAGAAAATGCCTCAGGGCTGTAGGCTCGCCCGCCCGTGGGGGCATTTGTTAACTAGTGGTTGACAGGGGAGGGCTCACCCCATTGTGTGTGGTGCCACCTGTGGGCAGGTATATAAGAGAGCTGACTGAGAAGCCATGGAGGGAAAGCCCAGTAAGCAGTGTCCTCCATGGTGTCTGGTTCAGTTTGTGTCTCCAGGTTCCTGCTGGCATCCTGCCCTGGCTTTTCCACTAGTCTCTGATGTGGACCTGCAAGCTGAAATCAGCCCTTTCCTCCCTGAGTTGCTTTTGGCCATGGTGTTTATCGCAGCAACAGAAACACAGCAAGATAGGAGGCTGCTGGCCAGCGGGTCTGGCACATACCAGCAAACAAAGAGTCACTTGTCAATCAAAGTGTCAGGTGAGGATCAATGTCTGAGGCTGCTTCCTCGTGTGCATCACGAAAAGCACATGCCTGTGCTCATATAGGTGTGTGCACACACATGACACACAGAGAGATGAAATCTCAGTGTTGTGATTTTTAGCCTTTGTCAATCCTACACAGCTCCAGATGAGGTCAGACAGCAAATAATCCACTACCACAGTCACTGAGTGCTAAACTTGACCCAGAACGACAATCATGGAGAGATCCCTTCGTCCTTCTAGGAAATGATGGCTCCTGTGAGGAATGCTGTCTGGCTTGCACTTATCCAGGACTTTATAAATTGTTTTATCAAATTGGTTTCAAGTATCTTGGCTCCTTCAATTCTCACAGGTCCATAAGATAACATGGCTCTCCTTAGAGATGTGTCCAAGGGCTGTGTTTGTTCCATTGTTCACAGTTTCCTGATTTAATCACATTAAAGCATCCAGAAGCTGCTTCAGATTTCCATGGACCTAGCCACGGCTTGCTTTCATCAGAGCACAGGTAAGCTCCAACGGATCTGGAGCTTTTTGGTTAAGGGCTGTAAAGTAAATGCTTCAGGTTTTCTAGTCCAAGGGAACAAATAATGAATGTTCAGCAGACACTAATATAACCAGAAAACACACATACCCCCACAACTATTATTTATTATTTTATGTCTATGGGTGTTTTGTCTGCATGTATGTCCGTGTACCACACGTGTGCCTAGGACTTCTGGAGCCAGAAGAGGGGTCCCCAGATGGTCATGAGCTGTTATGTGAACTAAGAAATTAAAGACGCAATAACAATAACTGGGTGCAACTTTTAAGTACAGTTCTAATAGGAAGAATTTGATTCTTTGTTTGTTTGTTTGTTTGTTTTTACGAGACAGGCTTTCTCTGTATTGTTTTGGAGGGTATTGGTCCTGCCAGGCCTCGAACTCACAGAGATCCGCCTGCCTCTGCCTCCCAAGTGCTGGGATAAAAGGCGTGCACCACCACTGCCAGGCGGAATTTGATTCTTTTTAAAAAATTGAATAGTGCTTAGTTTAATTGGGGCTCTAAACTGATTACAAATATTCATTTCAGTTTGGGAACTGCCAACTTAGTGAGGTTGTTTAAATGCTACACCTGGAGCAGCTCCTTCATTCAGCCTCTGCCATCTTCTTGTTGTAATTTGGAACCCAAGTTAATGAGATTCTTTGCCATCTCATTGGCCAAGATTGAAACTAAACCCTCAGGACAGATGAGGGCACAACCTGCCACCTGTAACCCCTCCCCCTCTGCTTTCACCATGCCCCCCTCAAGGGCAGCGCAGCTGCAGGCACAAACCTAGAGTTTTCAGAACTAAATCTGTGTTTATTGCTCATTTCTGTAAGCCACTCTGGATGAACTAACCCCTTTCCTTCTCTATGCCAAAATCCAGAGAGGAGCTCCCAGACAAGTCCGTTTCCAACACCTCTGAATTAAAAGGCAGATCTAACAAAATAAAATACATCGCTGGTGCGGGGGTCGGGGAGTAGAGGAGTAAGGTCTTGGCACACAGATGACTAGAGAACTCACAGACCTGAGCAGAGAGGAGGGGGCATCTGGCAGTCGGAGAATGTTGTACTGAGTCTCTCTAACCTTTTGTCCAACATTCCCTCTTCTCCCTCTACAAATGAGGTCATACCTTAGGGCTGGGAAGGAATTTGCTCTCCTGGAGTGTTGAGCACAGAATCAATCCCCCACCCCTACCCATCCCCAGCCAGAATGGGAGAGCAGCATCCCTCCCTCTTCCAACTTCCCACTGGGCCGAGCCCGAGGCGCTCAGTTTTCCAACTTTGGTGCCCAGCAACTCACAATAAAAGGCAGGGAACACACAGTGAAGAGCACTGTCATCAGAGCCAGCAGCAGGAGGTGGTCCAGCTCCTCCAGGGGATGCAGGGACTCTTGCCTGTGACCTGAGCCTGTCTGGGAGTAGTCCCTGAGGCAGCAGCGAGGGTGGCGCCTCAGGCGCCTGTGCATGGTATAGAGGTTGTGCATGGCACCCAGGTTGCAGAGCACGGTAGCCAGGACCAGCAGCGCCATGAGGCTGGAGTAGAGCACAGAGAAGCCGAGAACCGACAGTGAGCGCTTCTCATGGACCATCTGGATGAAGCACCAGGTGCCTGGGCAGTACTGCACGAACTTCCCAAAGCCAGCGAAGGGGAGTGCACAGAAAGCCAAGCAGAAGGCTCCCACAATAGGAGCCACCAGCACTCCCCTGCGCAGGGTAATGTGCCTTTGGTAGAAGAAGGGATGTCCCAGAGACAGCCAGCACTCCAGCGCCATAGCCAGCAGCTGTAACGTCGAGGCTAGTCCAAAGAAGGACATAATGAAGGCGAAGGCTTGACATAACTTACTGCTCCCGGCAGGCAGCAGTTCCTGTAGGCTCCGGTTTTGCGCATAGGCAGCCAGAACCACCGGGCTGATTAGACACTTGCCCAGCAAGTCTGTGACCGTCAAGCCGCACACTAGCACGTAGAAGACCGAGGGTAGAGGGCGCTGTGGCCGCGGCCGGCAGGACCCCAGGCCAGATCGTGCCAGCAGCACCAGTGCCAGCAGGTTGCCCAGCAGTCCAGCACTGAAGAGCAAGCCGCCCATTGTCGCCGAGGAGCCCTTTTCCACCCAGCGAGATGCCTGGCAGCGATAGAAGGACAAGGAGGCATTCATGGTTCTTGCTGCGTCCAGCTTGAGGGGAGGCCAGGTGTGGAGCACCCCAGGGCCCCTCGCGGCAATGCTCTGCTGGGGCACAGGGAAGTTACAACAAAGAAAGATCAGCAGGCGGCTGGGTATTGTTCACAGTCAGTCCTCCTATCTGAGATTCCGGGTCACACCCCTGGAGGAGGGCGGGACACTGCTATAAGTATCCCAGCGGGGGGGCGGGGGGGCGGCTCTGCTGAGAGCTCTTCCTGATGCACAGGGTCCCAGGAGAGACAGATCCTGTACCCAGAGTCAGAAGGAGAGGAGAAAGTATCCAGGATCTGAACACCCCAGGCTGGCCCTTCAGAGCAGGCAAGAGAACTGCAGACAGAAAGGGAACCGAGTAGGCACCAACAGAGAGAAGGGAAGCAGCAGATGGTGGTAGCCATCAACTCTGCATACAACCAAGCTAGGAGTCTGAGAAAGGGCAATGGTCTATTCTTCTCAGATTTGTGTAAATAACATTGGCGGCACTCCTGAGCCTTGGTTCCCATTCTCTTTCAGATGCCTGCAGTGTGGAGATTGACTATGAGGAGAGAAAAGAGGGGCCTTGGAAATCAGGGGATCTGGTTAGTGTGGCAGAGGTATCCAGTGGCAGTCAGCCAGGCATCAGGAGTTTGTTGAGTCCACCTGTCCCCTTCCATGGTTCCTCTGCCAAGAGGCTGACCAATTTCCAGGCCAGCTTTTTCTGCACATGGAAAACCAAGAGGTGATATGATGTGGGTGCCAGAAACCACCGTGACTGTGTAGCCAGGGATGTGGTTAAGAGCACTGATGCTGTCATCAGGCCTGGGTTCAAGTCCTGGGTCTGCTGTTACTGTCTGTGTGAACTGGGACATGCTCAGCTTCTCAAACAGCGACGTCTCTCCTGGTTGCTTGGTCACTTTGAAGTATGGAGACAAGATATAGAATGTGCCTGGGGAGTCCTTGGTGCATGCAGTTGCCACAATTTTATTGGGGGAAAGCATTTCTTTTTGTTACTTTGTTTTGTTTTGTTGCTAATAGGTAGCTGCAGATTTCAACATGGATTCTGAAACCAGAACATTTGCCTTGTTTTTGAGCATCCCCACTCTTCTGTCCTGTGACTACTGGAGAAAATGTCGTCCTTTCTGGCAGTGGCTTGTCTGCACCAAAACGGGAGGGCATGTTCCCTGGAGATTCCTCATTTAACACTCCTTATCTTGGGACAGAAACTGGCATCCACTGCGGAATTTTAGAGGCGCGATTTGGGCTAAATTATGTAAGCAAGTAGATTACGCCTTGGCATGAAAAGCTTCATCTGCAGTGCTCTTTGCCTATGCTGATGGACAGGGTCAGGGAGAGGGCAGGTCCTGAGCTTCACATGTGGAATCCTGAGGGGTGGGCAGAGAAGCTGCCTCCCACTGAAAGCCTGGCCAGCAATTCAGGCCACAGGAAAGCAGGAGTCCAAGTTGGGAAATTACATAGGACCTTTAGGATTTTGGCTTAGTGTTTCAATCTCTCCGAGATTCAGTGTCCTTATCTCTGTGTTAGGGGACCTCTTTGACCTCATACGATTGCTGTCTGAGGAAAAGTAACAATAAATAATTTGACATGGAGTGGTGACAGTAAAAGCTAACACTGAGAGCCTTGTCTCTGCTGGTAAACCTCTAGGCCATTCAGGGTGCATTTGGGTGCATTGACTGTACTACAGAGGTCTTGGTGAGGTCAGTCCTTGTCTATGCTGGACGCCGCTAAGTCAACAGTTCTCAACCTGTGGCTTGTGACCCCCCCAAAGACCATCAGAAAGCACAGATTTTACATTAAAATTTATAACAATAGCAAAATTTCAGAGCAATGGCAATAATTTTATGGTTGGGGTGAGGTCACCACATGAGGAACTGCATAAAAGGGTCACAGCATTAGGAAGGTTGAGAACCACTGCACTGACTCCATGAAGCCCTGCATGGGGTTGGCTCTATGTCTTGTGCCTTCTCTCTCACCCCTATCTCCTAGTAAATAATTATGAACTTAGAGGAGCTGCACTTGAGTATTACAGAGCATAAGAGAAGGAGGCCCTATGGCCAATGACGGGAGAATCTGATGAAGGCTGAGTTCTCTTCTATCAAGTTCAGAAATTCACCATTCCCTCTGGTCCCACTGTGGTATTGAGAGGAGTCCCAATAAATTCAGTTTAAGAATCCTGCCATTGAAGGCATTGCTTGAGCACACTCCTGAAGAACACCCACTTTAATTCTTGGTGGCTTCCTCTATTTACCTACATCGTTCTCTTCCCAAAGGTACAGGGCAGAGGGAGAGAGTCCAGTCATGTGTGAGATTGTCCAAAACAACTCCAAATATGAGCTGGGTGTCCCTGATGTCGATTACATGACTTGTTTCAAAGTTTGAAAGTGTGAATGGGTACAATTAAGGAAACCACACGTTTCCTCCTGGACAGCTCAGCTATGCTTTACCATGGGATTTCTGACAGCCTTTCCTGTCTGTTTTCCTATTGTCCACCCTCCACTCTGCACAACTGCAGAGTGGTCAATCCCTGTCCCTAGGAAACCCCATCCAATGATGTCACTGTAGAGCTATGAAAAACTACCGTTTGTTCATGCATCAAATACAGTTTTGACCTCCTACTCCTGCTAAGCACAGGAGAGGGGAGGGTAGGTTCTTAGGCCCTTACTAAAATAGGAAGGTAAACATGCCATGTGACCTTTACAATCTTCTAAGTTTTTACATCAGTTTTCACAGTAAGCAGGACCAAGTCCTGCTTGGAAACTTTTAATTAAAATATCTCATGTTAGAGACCATGTAGACACACTCCTCACACAGCATGTGGTTGGTACAGCATCAGTGACCTGGAAGGAGTTGGGAGGTTTCCTTTGAGGACTAAGTCTCATCTTTGTTCCTGATGATGTCATGTCTATCATCTGTAGATCTCAGTTTCCTTGGGAATGAAGGATCCTTTGTTTTTAGCACACTTTAGAAACCCCTGGGAAGATGGCTCACAGGTAAAGGCACTTCACATGCAAGTCTGACAACATGGGTTTAATCCGTGGAACCCACATAAAGGTGGAAAGGGAGACCTGAGTCCACACAGGAGTCCTCTGACCTCCACACCCATACCGGTCATGGCAATCTCTCCAATGTCGTATACACACAATAGTAAGACTTTTCAAAATTAGAAATACTTAGAAAGATATAAACACAGTCAGGCAGTGGTGGTGAATGCCTTTAATCCCGGCTTTTTTGAGGCAGAGGCAGGTGGATGTCTGTGATTTGAGGCCAGCCTGTAGGTGGAGTTTTCTTTAGGACTGCAGGCTCCCCAGTAATGACAGGGAGACTTATTATTAATTATATTCAGCCAATAGCTTAGGTTTGTTACTAACTAACGCATATTTCTTATCTACACTCTACTACATGGTGGTACGTGTTTTCAGCACTGCATACTCATGTCTTGCTTCCTGTATCTGGTTGGTGAATCCATGCTTCTTCATCCCATGCCTAGCTATTGGCCATTTAGCCCCTTATTAAACCAATGAGAGCAACAAATATTCACAGTTGTTGGGGAAGTCCTGTGATTATGTCAATAAAGTACTGTTGGCCAATAGGGAAGTTAGATAGGTGGGACTAGGAGTCCAGGAGGACTCTGGGTAGGAGAAACACAGAAAGTCAAGATGTAACGCCATGGGGTAGGAAGCTCGGAAAGTTCTCCGGTAAGAGAAATACTTAGATTAACAATTATGGGGTAATTACTTAAGTCAGAGCTAGCCAGTAAGAAACAAGCAAGGCCAACAGCTTCATAATTAATATAGCCTCCTGTGTGATTATTTGGGACTGATGCGGCTCTGGAACCAGGCTAGCGGGAAGGCTTCTCTTAAGGAAAAAGCTTCCCTTTACACACAGTGTACAAAAAGATTGTTCTACAGCACCAGTGGTCTACAGAGCAAATTCCAGGACATCCAGGACTGTTACACAAAGAAACTCTTTCTCAAAAACCACCTCACCCCTCCAAAAAAAAAAAAAAAGAAAAGAAAAGAAAAAAGAAGATATAAATATTTCTGATGCTTCCACATTGAAACCAGGTCTATCAAATATTTTGAGGGTACTTTCTGAGGGTGCTTCAGAAGTTTTTTCTTTTAATTCCCCCAGTTAATTGCTCTGCCCTGAAAATGTTAAGTACATGCTCTCTGAGGCCCTATAAGCCATGTTAGTTAATGCTTTTATTCTTACCAACTGCACCACAGAAGCTTCCTTCATTCCATTTCTGATAAGGAAAATGATCCGGAGAATATATATATATATATTTTTTTTCCCATTGATTCTGAGACATGAGTAGTCTTGGCCAACTTTCCTAACCTTCTGTGCCCTTGAATGAATCAAGATAGGGTTCTCTGTGTGCTTGGCACTGTACTTGAAGAAAACATAATTTTAATTTCCATCTGGATGGAGCTTAAGCCCTTAGGATCAGAATGAAATCTGAACTTGTCTTTGGGAGATGGCACCAGAGTGAATAAATGACTGAACCTTTCATTGCTATCCCAGTTACAGCTGTGGAACCCGCTGATTACTGAGCTGTCAGCAGTTTGGTCCTTGTTCTGAGGAAACTGTTGGCAGCCATGGTTGGTTGGGTTCCCTGCTGAGAAGATGCTGAGCTGGAGATCAGGATAGGGTGTGCAGAGTCTTTTCTTTGAGATTAACACCGGGAGAAGGGAAGGGATAGAATCTGGGCTGACAAAGAAAGAGGACTTGATCCTTCTGGTAAAAGTCCTTTGCTGAACAACCGGAAGCTTAGCCTCATGGCTACATGACTGGTTTTGATTTAGTTGTCTGTAACTCGGTCTCTGAGTCTTGGTTCATCCCTCTGGTGACTCAGGACTCTTCAGATTCTTCTTGGAAGTTCTTTGGTCTTGTTCCAAACCCCATTTACTCACTCTAAGGCTCTGTGAAAAGTCAGCAGTGTTTACTGTATGGTGTATTTGTTTGAATATTAGGTGATGTCTCTCAAGGGCCATGTCTACCTTTACTTTGTCTTCCTTGACCCAGCAACCCACACAGTAGGGTCTCAATGAATGAAGTATATACAATACTTTCTACTATTTTCCATGCCCCGAAAGACCCCATTCCTGGGTCTTAAACAATCTGAGACTCTTATTCTAAGAAGAAAAGATCTGTGCAACTATTAAGCAAGGTTCAGATGACATAAATACAAATTGTATGAAAATACAAGTCTAGGACCCAGCACTATTTTAGATACCGGAAGGGAGCTCCAAAAGAAGATTCAACTTCTCTGCATCTATGATATTAGCTGATGATAATTTATGAATTATTGAAAATGATATGCTTTAGTTTCTTCAGGAAAGATGTGGGAATAAACAATCATAAGTTATAAATACCATTTTAAAAGTATTTTTTTGTTTTTTCTTTTTTTCTTTAGAAACAATCATTTTACATATCAATCCCCCCAGTTCCCTTTCCCTCCCATCCTTCCATACCCCCTATCAACCCCCAAACCCACCCCCCACCTGCTCCACAAGGATTGTGAGGCCTTCCATGGGGGATCATCAAAGTGTGTCACATCAATTTGGGGAGGGCCCAGGCCCTCCTCCAGTAAACACCCAATTTTAAGAATGAATAATTATCACTGGAGGGGAGAGGAGGGGAGGAGAAATGATCTGTTTCTGTGATCATCTTGAACACAACAGATACATATCTCCCTATGTGAGCCATATGAGTAGCAAGAAAGATAATCTGTAGATAGGATACTCTTATCGTATGGTTCAACTATACAGAACGCTCTTGCCAAGTCCATAAACACAGTAATACGGTGGTGGCAGCAAGAGAAAGGGTTTGTCATGGAGTCTCAGAGTAAATTAAACTGACAGGATACACCGTGATCTTTGTCTTATAAACTTCATCTGTACTTTCTGTTTTTTAACTTTGGGAAAACATTATAATGAACCGCAACTAATATCACTAAATTTTCACCTCTCGTTGGGGACTTGAAAATACAGCTTAACTAACCTGTTCTTTTATCTCAGCCTCCAGTTCTCAAACTTCACTTTCACAGCTGGTGGTGGCGATTGGGAAATTGCTTCGGATTACGGCCTAGTGCAAATTAACCTGAGGGTTAAGACAACAATAGGAAGAAAAGGGAATGTTGACTCATATGTCTGTTATGGCAGAGAGGGAGGAAGAAATGCTGATCTGTAGCATAGGGGGCAGATCCAGTGAGATTTCGTGCCCTGGAACACACACTGCTAGGGAGCAGTGTCTGTGGTTTCTTCCAGTCAGGCCTGCTGATCTAGCTGGGCCAGTGTTGGATAGCTGAGTGGCTTATCCGTATGGCAGAGACTGTCTTGTCATTTACCAGACCAGTTTCCTCATCTCAGGCACGGAGACAGGAAAAGGTAGTTTATGTGACAGCCTGTGTGAGGCTCAGGAAGCAGAGACAGGATCCTCAAGGTAAGACGGCTAGCTAGACAAGTCAAATGACAAGCTCCTGGGTCCATGAGACACCCTGCCTCATTAAATAAAGCGGGGAGAAATTGAGGAAGAAACCAGCAACCAGCTCGTGTACATTGCCCTTTGTCTTCACATGACAACACAACATGTGAACGCATGCATAAA